CCTAACACAAATAGCTAAATAGCAAGCTGATCTAATACTGCAACATCTTGTGTAGAGTACTAAAACACTAAAACTTTGGGCTTCTTTTAATTAGTTTACTATTTTCTCTTATAATAATTTACCAATAACTAAAACAAGTTTATTTATAAATGTTTTTGATAGAAATGTTACTAAATCTCCTCTACCACGGGTCCAAGGAAGATTATTATCATTTTTTTTATCTTTAGCTTTACATTTTTTACTTAACTCAATACAATTTTTAACATGCATATTCAATACAACATCATAATCTTTAATTAGCAATACTAGTTCCAAAAAATTACCATGATTAATAGTCCTGTCCTCTAAACTATAAGCTGCTTCGTCTTTACCTCTAAAAGCTAATCCCTGCCCACCAATAAATATTATTATATCAATGAGCCTTTTAATGACTAAACGATTAAATTCTACTTATTTAGAATGAATTTCACTTAAATTAATATTAATACAACTCTCTATATTTTTGTTTAAGTTGGCTTGCAGTAAAGCAAAAACTGCTTCACCATGTGTTTTTGATTTTTCGTGTTTTTTAAAAGTACCATATACATTTAAATAACTTCTAATCCAGTAACTAAATTGCTAATTTTTTCACGTAGTGGGCAAAATGTCATACAAGTAGTACAAAATATTTTTTTACTGTAAGAACAATAAAATAACCATTTACGCTGAACTTTTAGAGAATCACTTAAAGTCTGATAATACATTTTTTGAGGATCAAATGGAAGTTTATCATTAATTAAAACAAAAGGTTGAATGGGACGACTTTTAAAAAAAGCTAATTTGATTTCTACTGATTCATTTCTGGCAGGTCTAATAAAAAAAGGCTAAGCTACTTGAAGTAAATGTAGATTCAGCTGATATTGAATTTGGATCTACAACAGAAATACTTTCAGTTTCACTTAATAATTGAAAATATATAGATAGTTAGATTTAATATTCAAATTTTATAGATACAAAAAATAATGTTTAAGATATGAATTACTTGTAGAAATTGTAGAATTAACTAACTTAGAATTTGGATCTACAGCAAATGTTAATTTAGTAGGAATGCATTCAGTTTCACCTAATTATTAAAATCACAAAAGTTTAAATTTTATATTCTTAGAATACTTTATAGATTCAAAAATTTAAATTTAAAATATTAATTACTTGAGGTAATAGTAGACATAGCTAATTTTGAGACTGGGTTCACATCAAACGATAGTGACTTTGTAGAAACTAGAAACCATACTTTCATTTGCATCTTATAATTGAAAACACACATAGATAGTTAGATTTAATATTTAAATAACACTTTAGAAGTTCAAAAAATAAATTTTAAATTCAAATTTCTTGTAAAGTAATATTATGGATACTATTTATGTATAGTATAATTAATAATATAATATGCGTTATTGTCTTATATTTTAACAACCTATATAACAAAATAAAATAAAATATTCTTACCTTTCACAGGTTTCAGTGGTTTCACACTTGTAGAAAAACTAAGTTTTTTTTGACTTTTGTCATTTGCACATTTAAGCAATTTTTGCTTTTCTATCTCTTTTCTCTTTTCAGAATCAGCTTTGTATTTCCTTTTATACATCACGATTCGCGAATCACGGACTCCCGGTTAAAATAATTACGGTTAACGGTTAACAAACAACACTACAACAGTAATAACTAATAACTAATAACTAACAACTTACAAGTTGTCAATTTGAAATTAACCATTCAACCGACAATGTTAAATTAAAATCTTTAAATTTAGCTTTAAGGCCATGATAACAAATAACCATATTCTAAACAAAATAAATGAACAATACAACGCTGTTGAACTATAAATTATTATTCTTGTAATTTGTATCATATTATTGACTTTACAAGCTATTTATAACCTTGCGGGCTGCCGCCTCATATGCGCGAGTACAATACTTACCCAAAATATAATAATTAATTTACAATCAGTATTTAGCGGTACCTAATGCGAATACCAAATAGTACGCATATGCCCGTATAATATAATATTATTTAATAGTTACAAGAATTGAACAATTCTACACTATTTATAATCTATGAACGCATATTTGTATATAAACAGCTCCCAATTAAATTCGTAGAATGATAATAACAATGTCATTATTTTAATAATTATTGAGAATTTTTCAAGGTTGTAATCAATAATACGTTTCCTGATTTGAAAGAAAAAATATTTATTTCGTATTTCTATTTACTATAAATTAATAATAATAATAAAAATAGGTACAAAATCAGGGGCCCCGTCCACAATTGCATACTACCGGTCCGGGCCAGTTCGACTCTGGATACTTTCGATGGATTTTGATCTTTTAACACACGACGATTACGTATGTTTGTATATCTTTATTTTTTTATGAAAGAAAATATAATATAAATTTTAATATTTAAGATTTAAAAAAAAATATCCGGGTCTGCGGATTTGTTAAAACGTCATTTGAAATGATTAATTACACAACAATAAATGAAAACTATAGTCCATGATGAATTCAATATCTTATTAATTAACAATAGGTACCTATAAAACAAAAGGGAATATGGATAAATATAAGTAGGTAGGTATCGCTATAACATAAATGAAAAAAAAATTATCTGAATCAATATTTTTTCAAAATTTTCTTTTTTTATCTTCCTTCAACATTTTGAGTTTGCCTGTGAAAATATTTATGTTTTAAACATATGATTATTCAACAAAATTATTTAACTTTTTAAAACTTTACGCGATTATATAAAAATATAACCGTATAAATAATTTCTCTACGTTATTGTGCAACGATAATGTAGGTATTATACTTGTATAGTAGTGTCATAACTCATAAATATTGTTGCTTACGTTTTCTGAACGCCTCTTCTACATTACGTTTGATAGAACACAATTTCTTTATTTTACAACTCGACTTAGGACAATGTTTCGTTGTGTGGCACGGGTCATCCGTGCACGCGTATTTAAAGGTTACCACCAGATCTGAACAAATGTTGTTCGGGGGTTGTGCAGTTAATGTAGTACATTCAAAACATGGGGGGGTTACAGGCATAATACTCGTCGCGGTGATCGTATCAAACTCAGAATAAAAAATAAGTAGGTTATAATTACAAAATAGTCTACAATTCACTATAAGCAATATTATATTGTTTTTAACCCTTTCAGGTCCACTACTAGAAATACTTAAAATTGTATGGTTTTTTTTTCTGATATTACTATATAGAGCTCAAATAAGATAAAAAAATTTTTTTTTTAATTTTCATGAAAAGCTCTAAGTTTTCCAGACCTGATGCCATGTGGCATCATTGGGGACATAGAGGTACTCATTTTAAACTTTTCAAAAAAAAACTTTATTTCTTATAAAATATTAAAACATCACATTTTTAACAATTTATCACATTAAAATATTTAAAACATAATAATATTAATATAAAAAAGTACCTAAGTGGTATTTAATAACTTTTATTTGAAAGGATCGTTATACGATAATAATATGTATAACTGCGATGATCGGCTAACAAATTTCTTACACGACATATCGGTTGTACGGTCGAGAAGAAAAGTGTGGGGAGCCGATAACAATAACGAGTAACAGAAAATATATTTTGTTTTAAGTGAAATACTATTAAAATTAAAAAAAAAAAAAAAACTTGAAATTATTGTACACGACTTATTTAACTCGTTTTATTATTTTTATATCACAATTAAGATGTACCTAATAAAAATAAAAATTATAGGTATCAAATAGATATACTTACATTTCGGCCTTGTATTTGGATAGTATTCAAAGTGATTGTTCTTCCAATAGCTCCGCTGAAAAAACATGTCACGAAAATAACAAGGGAAATTCTAATATTAATTGAGCTTTCCATATTTTATGAGTCTCGAAGACCGCAAAATATATTAATTGTATATACTGTGGCAGGAAACTAAATCACAATGAAATGTATGCTCAAATAGTAGTATAACAAACACACAATTTTGAATATATCTTGGTTTCCTTGCAACTGACTAAATTATTTATAAATATATTATTCAAGCCGAATTAACTTCTGGGAAATATGTACAAAAAATTATATAATTCACCCGTTTTATTTTGTATTAAACGTGAAAAATTCAAAATAACTGTATGGTCTGCCCGTTCATGATGTGTTAGAAAATTTTTAAGTGATCATTACAAGTTAGACGTTAGGTACCATCATGTCTTGAAAAAAAATAAACTTTTTTTTTCATGTGGAATCACTTAAGATCAAAGAATAATAGTTAGGAATAGAAAAAACAGCACTATAGTATACTTTAACTTATGTTATTTAAAATTATAAACGCATTTAAAATGTTTTAATCATATCAGTTATTGTAATAACAATTAATATCAATAGCAATAATATAAGGATGTTTTAATATTTGAAAAATAAATATAATAATATTTTAAAAATGTATACATTATTTTTTTTGTATATGTTTTATATGTCCAGCAAATCACTAAAACATTTACATTTAAACCTTTATGGAAGGTTCCCGCGGGTATTGATGGAGTAGAAAGATTTATGCAAGTGAAAAGATAATGAATATTGAATACTAAAATTGATTAAATTACATTTAGGCCGTATTGATCAGTAATCAAGTCAAATTTCATATGTCTTTCCGACTGTCCGACAAATAAAGTAAAAGTATGACATGGATATTTTAAACATAAAACAAATATTCATGGAATGATGAATACATTTCAACACTGGCTATACTCAACTATGCTGTAACATAACTCATAAGAATTAATTTGTAATATAATTCTTAAGTTATAAATTATAATATACAATTATTAACATACTATTTTAATGTGGTGTAATAAGATATAAGTGTTTGGATAAATATATCCCTTAAGTTAGTATGAAATTTAGATAATAATTAATATTAATATTTAATTTACTACGACTAAAACATAAAGTTGATAATTTTACCAATACTTACTGCAAATTACAATATAATAAATTACATATGTTGCATCCAATGGCATAATTGTACATTTCACGAAATGGAAACACTTTTTATCCACTTTGTATAATTCCACTATCTGGATAACATTTCATGAAATGGTTACTTACTCAAACTATGCATAACGGAACTAGTTGTCATCTGGACAAAACACTTACTGTAACAATATTTATAATTATATTTTTTATTATTTTGAACATACCTAGTACAGAATTATAAATACTGATTATAAATATTATAATCAGGGCTAGGATAGTATAGGATTTTGCATTTTTTTTTTTAGGATTTACAGGATATAGCTTTTCAAGCACAAAATGTGATTTGGTCATCTACGAGTTCAAATATATAGTTTTTATTTTGCATATTTTTGCATTTTTTGTACTATTTTTAATTTAGGGTCATTTTTTAGCATTTTTAGGTCATTTTTTCAATTTTACAGTCATTTTTTATACTTTATTGAAATCTGAGTTATATTTTTAATTTTTTAAAATTTTAAATGGTCGTTATTGATCGTTATAAATTATTGTATAAACATATAAAGATACAACATTAAAATAAAATCATAAACATATTTTCTAAAAATATTTAATGCTTCAAAATACCAATCGTTTATATGTATAATATAAAATATACTTGTTAGATTAGTATACTTATAAATATTAATTATTACTTATTAATTAATTTATATAATTATATATTTTTTGATCATTTTATGAGGTCAATTTTTCTTATTGAGTCTTTTTTTTTTTGATCATTTTTTAGTTTTTATTAGGTCATTTTTTTAGGTTTTTTAGGTCATTAAAATCCTAGCCCTAGTTATTAGTTATCTTTGTGTTTGCACGCAATTATATATATATATATATAAGAAAATTAAAATAATATAATTATAAATAACTCAATTAATAAGTTTACAAACAAAAAATTAAAAAACAGAGAAAAGAACTAATCGAATAAAAACAAGAAAATTAGTGATAAAATATATTCTTCAAAAAAACTGTTGTATTGACAACTTTGTAAAAAAAATCAAAGCAAAGGCAGTGTTTCCGCATTACATGCGGACATATTGAACAATAGACAAATCGGTTTACGAGTACTCTCAAAATGCCTTTAGAGGTATTGCTAGAAAGTTATCTGACAATATATTTAAATCTATTAAGATAGACAAAAAAAAATTAGTGATAACTGATATTACAATAAAAACATTACACTAAACTCTATGTAAAAATGGCCAAGTAAAAAAAAAAAACCGGTCTTTAAGCACTATAAAGATGTGATATCATAAATAAATGGCAAATAAATTTAATTAAACTACACTTATTTGGTTTCAATAATTTATTTACTTTGTAAAAAATTATATAGGTATTTTATATGACATGGCACACCAAATACGTGAACAAAATAAACAAAAGGCATTAGAAGTTCATTATAATAATTTAAAATATTGCAATGGACATTTCTACTCAAAATAATTTTTTGCCAAGTAATTAAATTATTGAAACGAAATAAATGTACTTTAATTGAATTTACTTATCATTCATTTATGATATCACATCTTTATAGTGCTTAGGATCTGGTTTTTTTTTTTACTTAGCTGTTTTTTACACGGAGTTTAATGTAGTGTTTTTGTTGTGATAATAATAATAGTAATAATAATAATAATAATAATAATAATAATAATAATATGTATACACAATGCATTTCATAAAATAAGTTTATCCAAAATACTGATAAATAGGGTTCGGATTTAAAGCCAATATAATTAAAAAAAAAAAAACATTTTAAATTTTAAAATGTTAAAAAAAGGCAAAACAAAAAATTTAATTTACAGAAAAAGCAATTACAAAATTTATTAAAAAAATTAAATTGTGTGTATATTGTATATTTTAACTTTTTTTTATTAAAAAGAAAATTGTACATTGACGAACAATTTTGAATCTAGTATCTATGCATTTTAAAAATATTTTAATCTATATAGATACGTAGTATAGATACTTTTATAAATGTTAAATTAATTGGCAATATCAAATACTCAATAAATATCGCAGATAATAAAATCCATTAAAAATAATTGACAAACGATAATGCACCGTCTTCAGATGTTATCGATTTGTACCGTTAAGATGTACGTTGCATATAAAACTATCAAATCTATTGAAAATTAAACACAAAAAGGCATTTATAAGTAAAAAAGACAGAAAAAAGCTAAAAAAAAAATACATCCATTTTCTTACAAATTGAATGACGCACATTTTTATATAAAAAAAAACCAGCTAGTCTTTGGTCGACATGGCTTTGTTGTCATTACCTCGGAGTGTGCTTATCTAGGTACCATATCAGCAACATCTCTCGACACCGGATCCTGCGTGCAACAATTGGACTTTTTTTTTAACGAACTAAATCAGTGTTGTATTAATTGAGCTCTATTTAGAGTTCTTAATTTGTGTTACTATACTACAGCATAATACATTAACAGCTGCTAGCCAGGTACGATGCGTGATTATTATACATTTTACATTAATATTATAGTTTATACTTATACGTAGAACAAATTTTATTTTACGGTGTATATGTATTTGATACAATTTTCAAAATACATAACATCGAGAACTCTCATAAGATCAGAAGAAAAGTAATACTGAGTGACTTAAATATTTGAACCTGGCAGATGACTTTATTCTCCAGCACTTATAAGTATAGGGAAGAATTCTTCTGACCTTTAATCTCCTTACTTAAACTTTATCTATCTTTGACTATTTAACTTAATTTTTCTCTCTCTCTCTTATTTTTGCGTTATTACAAAATAAATAAATAAATAAATAAATAATTTATAATAAAACTGTTTTGTTTTAATTTGTGATCTAAAAATATTAATTTAAAATTGCATTGTAATCGCATATACTATGCAGCCAACCTAATTACCTAATGATAAATATCACTATATTATTGCAAATATTTAAACGTTCAGCGTTAGTATATAGATCAGTACTAATAATTAATCGATCTAAATAATTGTGGTTATTATGATTAAGATCTTTGTTTAACATACTTATTTCATATTTGTCATTTAGGCTGATTTAATGCCAGAAAATAAAAATTGATTAAACTTATTGTATTTCTAATTTAATACTATAGTAACTAGTACCTACTGTAAATACCATTATAACTGTTTTAATTTTTGATTGAAGAATAATTATGTTTTATTATTCACAACAGAAAACATAGGTACTATTGTATAAATTATTTGACAACAGTTTTAATTATAAAATTATTGATCACTGTAATAGAATAATCATTTTTCAGTCAAAATTACAATAGTAATTTGTTGGTTTATATCCGAAAAAGGTAAGCGTAGTAGACACCTATAATGTACAAAAAAATAAAAATTGATGTTTTGTTAGTCACAAAATAAATCAATATATAAAACATTGTAATTAAATAACATTATAATTATAATTATATTTTATATAAAATATAATTATTTTATTATTTTATTATTTTATTATTTTATTTTAATTATATTTTTTTTATATTTTTTTTATTACATTATAATTATATTATTATACAAATAATATACAAATACCGGAATACATTTTAAGCAGCGTCACTCTTCAGTTTCATAATAATTATTATTATACACCAACTTTTCATTGTACTTATACATATATCAGTTATCGTACACATTTTATTTAATTTTTTTTTAAACACCTATATGGCTATATAATTTCTTATAGGTACTTTATGCACAGTTGTTTTTTTAGTTAAGTATAAGATATAATTATTTAAATTTCTTGTGTGTCAGTGTAAATTACGAGCTAAATACAATACCTGTATATACGTACAATGTACATTGTACATATTATATTATGTGCATATAGCACAATGGGTTTCGTTGTAGGTGGTCAGCCAATCAGTATTTTATAATATTTTAAACTCCAATTGGTTATTTTTCTTATTTTTTTGCGAGTTTTAGACATTTCTGGGTCACCTCTGCCGCCACGTCGACGTACACCTCCGTTGATTGCACTCTATTGTTTTGGTCCATAATGAATATATGCTAATAAACTATAACAATAATATTAATTAATTTTAATAGGTAATAACGATGTTGTCCGATGACAATCATCGGCAATTATTGCAAATAGTGTAACATTCGTAATCAACCACAACGATATAACATAATAATAATAATACTGTTCAGTGTTCACGATAATTATACGGTCTTGTGCGACATTTAACATTACATTATATTTTGTAGTCTATTTTATATAATGAATCAATATTGTACGTAATATACCTAGCTAACGATTGTTTTTTTACGTTTTATAAAAGTAATATACAATTGTGTATAGATTTTTTTCTAGTTTCTACATTTTTCTTTGATAGAACGATATTAGTTATGTCTCCGTTTTGCAAGGGCAGGAAAGATTCTACGATAATGCACAACGATCTCGTCACACTGAAACTGATGTTGAAGGTGCGTTGGATTCGATAGTTAGATTACTGTAAGTTATTATAATGATAATAAATTAAAATAAAATTTTCAATTCTATAAAATTTGTAGGTTTTTATAGGTTATTATAGCTATACGTAATATATTAATGCCTGACGGCGCGCTCTTTAAAAGATCACATTAGGTTACCTATATTTAATTTTTCTTCGTATTTTACATGTGTTACACAACTAACACAAAGGTTAATAGTTTAATTCAAAACATCGATATTCTTATTTTAATTATTGCCAATAAATTATTGACATTAAGGTGTTATAATCCGTTATAAAAATGATAAAGAATGACATTTGCTGTGTTCTGTGAAGCTTTTTTTTATTTTCAAGAAATTATTATTTATAAATGAATTAAAATCAAAACGAATTGATAATTTATACTTTATTAAAATAAAAGCTTCTGACAAAACACAGACATATTATTCTTTATTGTAATGATATAAATAATATTATAAACTTAATTTATATTAATTTCAATAATTTAATCACAATTTGTGAAATACAGAGATTTATTTTTATACTTTACTATTGTACGTATATATAAGTAAAAAAAAGTGCTTATTGATACTTCAAAGATACTCTTAAGGGAGGTCATAAAAAAAGTATAGACATTTAGTTGGAACAGTAACAAATTAAAGTATGAATATTATCTTATGAGAAATAATAATATCATAATAATTCAATTATTTCAATTATTCTCTTTTTTATTTTACCATATACATTTCTCAAATTATTGTTTAAATTAATAAGAAGTTTATAAAAACTTAATAATTCCTTATTCATTAGTCATTACATAAAAAAAAAATGTATTTATGTAAAGTTTTTTGAGATGTGTAAAATTCATAATAATATAAAATACGTAAAAGTTTTAGATTCTTAAGAAACCTGCATTACATTTTCAAATCTTAGATTTAAAAACCAAAATTTTTATGAATTTCTAACTAAATAATAATTTGTACATTTTTAAGATTTTATCGACTTGTGTCAAAGTTTTAACTTTGAACGCTTATAAAAAAAGTATTGTGACAATAGATTTTCAATATTTTTTACTGAAAAATTAAAACTTTTTTATTTATATCTACATAATTTTTTTTAAATATTTTCATTTAAATTATAAGATTTAAGAGAAATATGTATTCTATATCTTATATACTATAATATTATATTATACTTATATTTCAATATAATATAGTATATAAGTACTAAATATACCTACTGAAATAATAATTAGTTTTTTTAGCTCAATTGTCTTTTTTTTAGATTCTGTATGAAAATAAAAAATGAACTTATATTATATTTATTTGTAAGTTATAATATACTAATTGTATCAGCTATCATTTATTAACCATTATATAATATAAGTCATAAGTGATAGATACATACAAATGTATAAGTTTCATAATGTTGTCTACTTTTGACAGTTTATAAGACTTTAGATATTAAAATATTCTGTGTTTTTATTTTATAAAACTAATAATTTTAAGTTTAACGATTTGAAAATCTAGAGTTCATTAAAAGTTCTTTTAAAATTATTATACACAAATTTAAGAAAATTATCACAATTTTATTTATTCTGTTAACTTATTAATTTTAATTATTATAAAAAAAATGATTTCAAGTAAAATGATGAATTTGTGAAACTAAATTATTTAAGTTTCAGCTAATTTATCCAGATAATGCATTGCTATTGAATGTTTAACACTGAATTGCATTTGTAACTGAGTATCAAATATTATATAAAATATTAATTGCTATAAATTTATTACAAATTTCATATCGTAATGAATCGTTATTATTAGCTAAATGTTATTGAGTGTAGCGTGCTAAAGTGTAACAATTGTGCAATATAGAATTTAATCAAATGATATGCGATCATGGACATTTATACAACCGTAGCTGCATAGGGTACATTTTGATCCCCCTTAGGTTTGGAAACGTTTTATTGGGGAACAAAATAACAAATCTTCGATATTTTTGCTGAGGATAAGTTTATGTCTTAATTTATTTTTACCGGGAAAAGTATGAATTATAATATAAAAATGCTTACTTTTCACATTTTACTTCAATATCGAATTTAAATATTGTTATAAACATACCTAAAAACATAGAAAAGGTTTTTATTCTTAAGTTTGATAACAGGTCCATTCTAATTGACAAGACTTACAAAATGTAAAACTGCTGAATGGACATTTGTTGTGTTGTGCATTGAAGGTAGGACGGAGACAACAAATGTGTGTGTGTAATTTTAAAAAGTATACTGCTTATTCTGTGAATAAAATTAAAAACTCATAGTTTTGACGAATTCAAAAGTTGAAGTTAATGTGCTTATATTAACTTATAAATACTTTAAAAATATGATATACACATATAATATTATTATGTAAATTATAAAAACTCTCGTGTTTTTAAAATCGTATTACTGTACAAGTCGTCGACAAAGAAAATAAGAAGTTGTGACATCTTCGTCGTATCACAAATTATATCTTTTTCACATTTTCACAATCTTAAGTGTGCTTACATTTCATTAATGACTCGATAATGTGAATTATTATAATTGTTATTTGAAGAGATGGATCGTGTACGAAACATATATATTTTAATTATTATCTAAGACTATATTATAGCGAGTAGATACAGGTACCACACTGCCATCTATCAAAATATGTAAATACGTACGCGTAATAATTAAATACATTCCAAATGATATAATAATAATAATAATAATAATAATACTAGTACTAATTATAATGATAACACAAATTTTCTTGTTGGTATGGGTATGAAGTTGACTACCGCGTTAATGCATTATTAGCTTGATAAATTATTGTTGATCAGGCGGTTCCGCCGATATCTACATATTGGTGAATATATTTTAAGTAATAAACTTATAATATAGGTACTCGTATATATTTTACTGAACGGCGGTCATAATATCACTGTATTTTTTTTAGCCGAAGACTATGCTTATGAATTATTACTTTATTATAATGTCAAATTCACTTTTGTATATTTTGAAAATCAAAAATTATTTAGTGTAGGTAACCAAAAACTGGAATTCAGCTGTACAAATATTCTATTAAGCGTCAATACGTCTATAGGTAGGTATACGAGTTTATTATGTGCAGGCATACAGGACACATATTATTATTACGTATAAAATAATGTGCTATAATTTTATTTCTCGTTCATATACGAACTAAAGGAATTATATTATTATTTATGTATTTGATTTTTTCATGTAATTTCCTTTTAAATAAAACATTTCTATATTGAAATACGAGGCAATTGATAAGTTTGAATTTTAATAGGAATATTATAACAGCAAGTTTAAGCGAACAATAACTATCATCGTTCAAATACCTATTTTCATTCTACGCAAATAACATATTCAAGTTGTTCATAAAGAAAAACCAGGCTGGATGATTATGATTACAAGAAATAAGTGAGTACCTAACAAATATATTTTTTAAAGATAATTGTTATGTGTACAATCCTATAAATTCTGATTTTTCTAATTCTTTTCTCCAATTTTAATTGATTAAGCAGACTGGAAACTGTGATTTTTCATAGTTGATATTAGTCATAAGATTAACATACACTAACCTAACTATTATAATTTAGACACGTTTTTATTACACTTTACCGATTAATCCAGTAAAGTGATAAGAGTTCTAATATCAGATTTCAATTTATTGTCAACTTTACTTAAGATCAATTTTAATACATTTTCGATGTTATACCAATAAACCATTAAATCCTAAGCCAATAGTTCCCAAACTGGGAGACGTTTGCACATAACAGGGAAGATGCGAAGTAAATATTGATATTGTATTTAGGTACTATACTATTATAGTACTGTACAGTATACACTAATAAAAAATGTTGTTTTATTTATTCAATGGGAGTGTGATTAAATTATTTTTATTTTTGGGAATGCGTGAAAAAGTCTGGTAACCGATGTCCAAAACAATTATATGAAAAAAGTAGAAATTAAAAATTATTATATTTTAATATTTGGAGAAGTTAAAATCAAAAATATTAAAAAGTCAATCTCGAGTCGAGATTGTGGATGCTACCAATGCTGTAAAATGTACTACTTAAAAAAATCTATGAATACGTACATAGAAACTGGCTACAAAAAAATATTTATGTATAGATACAAATATTTTAAATTGATATTTAAATAATCTTCAAATACGTTTAATTTCGGTCATAAATAAATTATATTTATAAGACCGAAGTATTTGTTAATTAAATCAGCCAAAAATCTATAGCTATTTATCACGTTAAACAAACTAAACATATAGGAAACGATTTAATATTTATATAATGATTATAATGTATATACTTTAAAATGATGAATACAAAAAAAAATATATATAAATGGGTATTGCACATATTTATCATAAGTATCAATAAATATAGATCAATTATTATTTAATATAATGATACATGTTTGTTAGATTGAAATTCAACGATAAATTATTGTACACGATGAAAGACGATTCTCAGCGTAGATGACGTGATCTATTGTCTATATCAATAAATAAGGGTATTTTATGTTTTTTTTTTTTTTTTTTTATTGCCATTCCATTAAAAATTTATTTTATAATAAATAGTAATAACGCGGTAGGTTGAATTAATTTTCAATAAAGCAAAAATCAATAAGCCGCATATGTTATATAATGTAACTATATTATAATATTATTTGATTTAATATTACTAGCTGTTACAGTCATTAATACAAGAGATTAGAGGAGTATCTCATTCATATCCAACATTGCGCTTGAGTACGAATTGACTAAATGAAATTTTTAAACGCGATACTCTTAAAAATTAAATCATTAATAAATGCACGATTTCCTGCAGACACGGATGCTTATTATGTGCAGTTTTTGACACCAAATCCATCTAGAATTTTTAATATTATAATAATATTAAATTAAAGTGTATATTAAACGAGCAACCGACGAAAATATTCTTATAGTTTTACTGAATTTTAAGCCGATTAAACTAAATCCCAATGCATGAATGATAATTATCAATAATGTTGTGTGGCCATAATATTACTTTACAATAAAATAAAAAAATTATTTATTGCACATGAATAATATCATATATATATATATATATATTTTTTTTTACGACTGTTTGTTCATAGATAAGTTCATATTCTTAGTGAAGATTAATAATAAAAAAAAAAAAAAAAAATCAAGCAAAATGTCCAAGAAGGGTGTGTACAGACAAATTTATGTCACTATAGTCGGTAAGTTTCTGTTGTAAATCCCATTAGATTATTATTTAAATAAACCTATATGTAAATCCCATTAGATTATTATTTAAATAAACCTATATGTTATCCGATATGTACCGTATTTGCATAGTAATCAACACACTAATCTTTCGCTAATAATATAACATAACGTTTTATAATTCTTAGTAGGTGATATCTTTTTAGTAATAATAATAATAATACCGTAAAATGTAATAAAATCAATTGGAAAAACTCATTTTACTAGAGCACGTCAGCATATGTTACTTATATAAAATATTATATAATGCCATCCTCTTTCATCACAATTGTCTCATAACAAAAATTCAAAAACGAACATATAAATTTGAATAACACATGACGGAATTAAAAATTCGATTCTCCGCACTTCGATAATTTTGAAAAAAAAAAACGTATTTCGAAATTCTTAATTTAAATTAATCAGTTATCACATTTCGCACTTTTTTTTATATAATTTATACAATATACATATTTATTTTATCACGTTATATAATTACACGTTATGCTACAGCGCATTACTTTTTTTATAATTATATTGAACACAATGCATTAAATGCAACATTGAATTTAATTCACGTTCATTTTATATTATTTTTTAATCATTGTTCGATTATCCGCAACCCTTCGGTCCTAATCAGTACGGATAATTAGATAAACGACTTTTCAATATACGTGTGTTACACGTATACATGTGCAACAGAGTACCTAACACACGAACACAGGGTGATTTTATTTTTATCTTCAACCGATTAACTGGGCTTTACCGTAAGTTCGAGGAGTTTTGTAATAATTATTTTTGTAACTTCTTTATGTACTTCTTTGTTTTTATTATTTTAAATCGATTCTCCACGGCAATCAGTGTTGTATTCTTAAAATTAATAATACCATCTTACTGTTCAATGCCAGCGGCTGGCAATAAATCATAATAATACATCATGGCCATGGTATGACTGTCGGTTCACGATAGACATATAATTACGTCGTAGATGGTACTTTAGGCACGGATACAAGGGGGGCCATGGGTGCGATACCCCCCCCCCCCCTTGATTTTGCGAAAAAGTTATATTATTATATTAATATGTTAAAGAATGATAAAAATCATAATTTTTTTTTTTATAGTTTAAAGTATTATTTTTAATTTTTATGTTCGTTTAGTAATAATAAATAGTAGGTACATAATTTCGAGGATAGTTCTGTTTATAATTCGGTAATTCGGTACCATTTTATTCTGTGCTACTTCTCGCTCGCTCTTTGAAATATTTACTGCGATATTGATGTAAACGTCACTAAAGTTATTGACATGTTTTCAAATGCCAAAAGAAAATTATATTATATAATTATAGTATTTATTATAATATTATTATATATAAGTATATAATACTTATAAATTCAATATACCTATACCTATCTAGTTTTTTAAAATTTTCAGTTGAAAGTTTATTCCTTTATAATGTTAGGAGATGTTTGTGACATTATAAAATTATTGAATTTCATGTACCCATTACACATTATGTCCACAATATAAAACGCTCCACCTCCTCCCAATAATTACTCTGGATTTACGTCTACGGTAGTGCTTACCTATAATTTGCACGATGCGATGATTATTTTATTATTATTATTATTATTATTATTATGATATCTAACGGTGACGGTGTGATGTTCCCGTAGCGACGTTGTCGATATTCATCAGCGGCATGTGGCTGGGATGGCCGAGCTCGGTGGTGGAGAAGTTTATCAAGCACGAGACGGACTTCAACGCGACCATGGAAGAGTTGTCGTGGATCGTGGCCACGATGGACCTGGGGAACGTGGTCAGCCCGCTGATGGCCGGCTACCTGATGGACTTGGTCGGCCGGAAGCTCAGCACCGTGGTGCTCGGGCCGCTGTTCATAGTCACGTGGGCGCTGACGCTGTGCGTGCCCACGGCCTGGGCGCTGTACACGGCCCGCTTGCTGGCCGGCATGGGCAAGGGCATGTCGTACACGGTGGTGCCCGTCTACCTGGGCGAGATAGCGTCGCCCGCCATACGCGGGGCCCTGGGGAGCGTGTTCTGCTTTCAGCTGCACTTCGGCTTCCTGGTGGAGGCCATCGTCGGGCCGCTGGTGTCGTACCGCGCGCTGAACGCCATGTCGGCCGTCGTGCCGGTCCTGTTCTTCGTCACCGTCGTCTGGCTGCCCGAGTCGCCGTACTACTTGCTGAAGCGCGGCCGCCGGCCCGAGGCGGCCGAGTGCCTGCGGTGGTTCCGGGGCGGCGGCGACGTGGACCGCGAACTGGACCGGATGGCGGAAAACGTGCGCCAGGAGATGGAGAACCGGTCCACGTTCCGGCAGCTGTTCACCAGCCGGAAGGACATGCGGGCGCTGTCCATCGTGGTGGCCGCGTGCACCACGCAGCGGGCGGGCGGCATCAGCTGCATAATGGCCTATTCGGCGCTCATACTGCCGAACACTGCGCAGCTGTTGAACAAACACGAGTCGGTCATGGTGTTCGCCATCACGCTGGTCGTGGTCAACTCCGTGGCCGTGGCGCTGGTGGACAGGGTTGGCCGGAAGCCGCTGCTGTTGGTCTCCCAAGTGGGCCTAGGCGCGGTCACGCTCACGTTCGCCGCGTTCTTTTACTGTTCGCACGGCGACGGCGGCGGCGGCTGGGTCGACCGCGAGTTCGCGTGGCTACCGTACCTCTGCCACTTGATGTTCGCCGTCCTGTTCGCGACCGGCGTGGGGTTCGTGCCGGTCGTGTTCCTCGGCGAGTTGTTCCCCGTCAACATCCGGTCGCACTGCTCGGCCATCGCTTCCATCACACTGGCGTTCTGCTCGTTCGTCACCAACAAGATGTTCCTGTTCGTATCCAACCACTACGGGTTCTACGTCATGTTCGTGCTGTTCACCGTTGTCAATTTCGCCGGCGCGTTCTACACGTACAAGTACGCCATCGAGACGAAGAACATGACGTTCCAAGAGATTCAAGAGCAGCTGCAGGACACCGTTGGGCCCCGGCGAGAAAAATCCGACCAAAACGATATTTGAAAATGTACAATTTTGTAATTATTAAGTATAGGCGATCTTTTAGAAAGTACAACGCGACGGAAAAATCGCAAAAAGATATTTCCAAGACTTCTCGAGAACGTGTAGAAATTCGGCGTGGAGATTCATACTGAAATCAAGAGAACAAATTATTGTTTACGAATCATAAAGCTACTTTACTGGTGTATGAAATAAATTTTTTTTTACTTAATTATCATTTAAAAAGCATTTATACTGCATTAGTACAATATATGTATAAGACAGAAATTAGGTTTTAATTGTAGGACATTCGAATATGTATGTATAAATTAAATATATATTTTATAAGGTTTCATCAGTAATTGAATTGTATGCAAGTAGGGGTGACTGGGTATAATAGTTGTAACAGTTTTTATAAAACTAATTATTTCTACTAAAATTCAAATTTATTTTTTATTACACTTTCAATTAGTAAAGTAATTTGTTACCTTTAAAAATATGTAAGTATCAAACCTTTGTTTCCATAGATTATTGAGTAAATATGAGTATGGAAAAAATCTGTTACGATTGTGCTTTAAACATGAATAATTGTAGTAGTATCAAGGATAAATTTAACATTTTTTTTTTTTTTTGTGTCTATAATGTATAGTTACCATTAAATTAAATAAAATGAAATTCAACTCTTGTAAACAGATCATTATAAATAAATATATAACTTTTGAATAAAATAAAATATAATATAACATTAGTAAACAAATTATCACAAATAATTACATATTATCATTCATCATCAACCACACTACTATCTCAGGTATAATTAGCAATGAAGTTAGTTTTGGTCAAGTTTCGAATGACCACAATTCAATTTTCACCTAAAAAATTAAATGGAAGATTCCTCAATACTAATTTGAATTCGATTCTGTGCAAATTATACGAAAAGTGTTCTACTCTGAATTTTATTTACAATAATTTTTTTAAGTTTATATTTTTACTTGTCACATTTTAATTTTGTTAAATTTTTTAACTTCTGTATTTCTGACCAAAACTACCTAAAACCAAATTAATTTTAGTATATATTTATAAAACACAACAATCAAACAGATAAAACAAATAGCACTCGAGCAAAAAAAGTAAATATAAGATTTTATTTATTATCTGTTATAAAAGAAAATTTTTTCGATTGGTAAACTTGTTATTGTTTTGATAAGCAAACACCAACTATTATATAGGGAACTAACTGTGGTTTTTATTTGAAATTTTTGTATTGGTTAAAGAACAATTTATTGCCATGTTACGATTGTACCATAGAACAAATTATACTTAGTATCCTTATTTTAAACAAAATTACTCTTTGTTTTTTCTAAAAATATTAACTGTATCTAATGATGAATAATCGTCTTGCAGTATACCTAATAAGATTTTACAATATATTTTTAAATTATTAAAATATCTACAATTATATTGATATATTCATGTAAAAAGTACACCAATTAAGAAACGTGACTATCTATGATGAAAAAAAAAAAAAAAATACTGAAAAAACTTTTCATTTTTGGTATTTTTAGGAATTTTCAATCCTAGCCTTTTTTGGAATTTCTGAGCACGGGAATATTCGTTTCCGAAAATGTTGAGAACGCCAACTTTAATTATAATACAATTATGGATATCAAATATGTTCTGGTACTATTATTGCTATGACTTGAGATAAATAATATTATAAACAATCGTGTACGAGTTAAGGTGGTTATTTACGTCGTAACGGTATCACATGACATAGTAACACCTACCTATACACTACAGATATATTAAAAATATAAAAACAAGTGCTCGATTCTCTAGACAGTCTAGACAATATGTTCCCTTCGATATTTTTTTTAAATTTTCATATTTTTTTAAAATGGCGTAAACCCACGATTTTTTTACAAATACACCACTGATTGTTACGCTTTATTAGTAGGATTTTCTTTTTATTTTAACTTCTAATTTTCTCTCGCATCTCTCTCTTAACACAGCTGTCGAATGGTTTCAATATTCAAAGCTCTTTAAACTATTTTTTCTTTATGACCAACGACTTGTCTCACTGATACAGACTCACGAGTTACTGTTATCTTTCTTACAACGTTTTAAAGTCTCAACTTTCTCATTTCGTAATTAAAATCAAATTTTTATTATTTATTTTTACGAAAACAGTTGGTTTTTATGTACTATTTTTATTAGTATCTGGCTATACAGCCATACAGGAATAGCAGTTACTACATTTTCAAAAAATGTTGTCAAATCCATGGCATTTTATAGGTATCTTAAGTATCAAAATCTCCCGATTACATTTTAGCCCTAATACTTAACGACATGTATAAAAGTACAATCCCATCCCATAATGATGGTCTTACAACCTAAATCTCTAGAAAAGTAGATAGTGTATGAACTTATTTTTCCAGTTCTGATATAACCATTTTAAATCATTAGTAAACGTATAAACGTATAAAAAGTAGAGTGAAGAGAAAAACAGTCTATCGACTGATTTATAATCTTTAATAGTGGACGGCAGTCAGTGAAAAAAATTGTTTAGCTTATTACGCTGTTGCATTGACAGTGAATTATGTGAATGAAAAACACGTATAATAATGTATATAGTTCATTAAATTTAATAACAACCGAAATATTTTATTGAACAATGACATAAACTCTTTGTCGTAATATTTACGAAGAAATCGATACAACAATAATTATAATATAATATAATATAATATTTATATATATAATTAACAACAAATAATATTATATATTAAGATTTATAGAACAAAAATAAACCAAACGGGTGCATTTAATCATATTTAAATGGAACACAAAAAAGGAAAACACGATAGAGACTTACAACGAACCAATATTGTTATTATTATTATCATTATTAGGTTACTACTTATATGTGTATATATAAATTACTAGTATCACGCATAATAAACACTTGAATATTTAATAAACGTATTGATTTTCTTACACGAAAACAACCACTTGTAACTTTGAGTATTTATTATATCATAATAATAATCATTTATGGAATTAAAAGTTTTTTGAAATATCACAACATGAAAAAAACATTTTGGCATATATTTTAAAGTCTATTTTGACTGTAAGCATTAGCAGTCTCTCGCATACACAACGTCACACAAACTCTTTAGGTTAAAGCATGAAAAAAATTTTGATATCACAGTATCAATAATAAATAAAAATTGTGAAAGTGACTAAGTGAAAAAAAATTTTATACCATTCGATTTGCATAAAAATGTAATCTCTTCAATGATGAAAACACATCATCCATGCGCATGCATCCACATATTCCACATATTATATTTTTAAGTTTCCAGTTTTGTTTTATCTAAGTCCATTAATCTATGATAAGAACAATAATGATAATAATAATAATGATAATAATGAAATATTATAATATAATACAATTTAAGCCTTTAAAATAGAGATCAAACTCCACCGACGATATGTTAGTGTAAGAAAATTCGTTAAACATATTTTTTCTTGAAACATATTATTATAATATATATAGGTAACAATGATTTATATATATTTATCCTTTAAAACCATATAATCTAATCAATCAGTACATATATTATGTTTGTAGATCGTACCGCGTCTATAGGTGATTGTCATGTATGAGAAAAATAAATATTTATAATAATATAATGTAATGTTATACATTTTTTTTATGGCGTTTGATTTGTAATGAACGTGTTACATAGTTTAAACTTAATATTATTGTTACACCTATAGTACAGAAAATAAATATTTAAATAACAAAATAAGAAAAAAATACACCAACAAACTAACGAATTTACATTAAAGTCACTGAATCAAGTACATTTATAGTTAAAATACAATAATATAATATAATAAAAACTTGGTATATGTACATTAAATACATATTTTAATAAATAAAATGCATTATATATTTAAATTTATATTTATATAATGCATTGGCGAGAGATAGTATATAGAAAAAGAAGAGTAAATATGAAAGAAACTCGTATCACACAAATAAATTGTCATATATTTATTTCATTAGTTACATTATAGTTAATGAGAAAATTTGGCAATTTGAGAAAAATTGGGACAGCTTGTCTTATAATATTATAACTTATCATTAAAAAAAAAAAAAAAAATGTTTTTTATTTCATTATCACTCGGTGTTTAATATTAATTTCTCTATGTTTGCGTATTAATTTTGAAAACCGATATCTGTAATAACCGTTAAACTTGCACGCACCCATCGACAAATGAATGCATAAACGAATAAAATAATAATCGAAATTATCTTTTTACAAATCAATTAATAATTATTATTATAAGTGATGATTCTCAAAATTAAATATGTATATTATACATAACGATACAACACATACACCTACGTATAAGTAACTAAATATATAAATTGAAATTACGCACATAGAATCATAGTCGCTTTAACAAAATTAATCGAAAGGTCTAGGCGAGTAGGAAATAAATGTATATTTTTATTATTAATTGTCTGAGCAAAAACCATGAGAAGGGCAGCGCAAAAATTTCGTGTGTAATAATATGTCTGTTTATAAAAATCTAATACTATACAGATATTTTCGTACGATGTCCTCTACCGCCTACCAGAAGCATAGGAAGTTACTATTGAATTGACAAGGAATGAAATATATTAATCGAAGCCAAATAGAAACACAGAAACAATGGGTTATAGTGGTTGCACTAGTACACTATATTCTATTAAATTAAGTAACTATATGATAAATAGCTTTAATGTCTAATATTATATTTTGATTGTTCGGTATGATCATTTTTTATTTTTGTTTTTCCATTTTATTTTTATGTCATAAACATGATGAGATGGGTAAGGATACATTTTCCATTAATGCTTATACAATTCATCTCGACAATCGATTATGATCGTATACTATACATTTATATCTAATAATAATCGTATAGTTGTCACAACTCTATATTTATTTATTTTCATCTTAACAACAACTATGCCCGCAGAACAAACGGTACAGATAATAGAATAACAAAATATATAGTAAAAATAACTTAACAATTAAATGATTATGTAAATGAAATAGTATTCGTTTGTACGTGTTGTTTCTTTTTTTTACATTCGAATATGTTATGCATAACGTATGATGAGTAGTTACGCTCAAAGGACATATTATCTAATATGTATAAAAAAGTAAAATACAGTAAACAATCCTACGATTCAGGTTAAAATTCTAATGTGGCACATTAATATTGTTAGCGTACGACGTATAATATATACCTATGCCGTCGCTATTGCAGTGCCAGTCGTTTTTTCCCAAAGTCTGGAAGACAAAATTATTAAAAAATTCGAAGAAAAAACCGCTTAAGACGGGAAAAATTGTATCGGTATGATACAACAATAATAATCATAGTAGAATACACAAAAAGTGTACAACACTCAATTATGTATGCGTAAAAATTAAAGTAGCTGATAGCGATGGCGTAGTAGTGCCAGCGGGGCCAAGCGGAAATGTATATAGGTACCTACTACCATTGTTTATAGAATTCTATAATATAATATAGAATATTATTTAATAATTATTCTATAATCAATGCTACTACCTACCTACCTACTCATTGTGCACGTAAACTAAGCGGGACGGCCCACCGGAAGGACGTTAATACAATATGATATCGTACTCGCTTATCATTAATTTCGCTCGACATCAGCAATATATTAATAATGATATTCCTTCCGGGCGAAGAGAGCGGCGGCGAGAAAACAGTTGTGACCGAGATAGGATGATGAAAAATGGTTGACATCGCAGACGAGAAAACAAATCTATTTATCTCTACAGCACCCTCGATCCAACTTATAGTGACCTAACTAATACGTGATACGTGGTAATGATATCGAAGACGATTATTATAATTTATTATTAGGTATTATTATTATTATTATTATTTTTATATTTTATAGTCGCTATCACTCGCCGCTGCTGTCGCCCACAGGTGGGTCAGTCGCATCGATCATTTACTTAAAGCACGTGCTCTGATTCCTCTTGGCGCTAAACCGTCGTCATTGGCTGCTGCTGCCGTGGTGCGGTGAGTTAGACAGCGTAGTGATGCTGAGCCGAGACGGCCGGGGTTCGATCTCCAAGGACCTGGTGTACAGCTCATCTTCGTTCATCAGCAGTGACGTGTCCAATAAGTAGTTGGCCACCCTAGGGTGGAAGTCGATTTTGTACGGGGTCTGCTGAAACCGGCGGATTTCTTGTACCACGTGCGCAATCTGAACAAAAAAAAAAATAAAATCAACAAATTCAATATCAAAAAATGATATATAGAATGATTGAGAAACAGCGTGAAGAGATATTTAGTTGTATACGTCTATAACCGTGTTTCACATTTATACACGCATGCTGTAGTTTCCGACCTTGGAAGGACGTAGTGTAGGAATTAAAAGGATATGTCTCATAACATACAGATCGGCGGAAACTGCCGACAGATACCTACCTAAATACACTATTATTTATTTTTTAAAGCAATATTAATTAATTATAATCGTTTAGATTAAACATAAGCATTTTATGGTAAGCCCAATAGACAATAGTATAAGACTTTTACTTATAGACCTAACCTAACCTTTGGTATAAGTCGTAATATGTATTATATATTATATATAGTATATACATGTATATATATATTAAAACGATGGTTTTTAAACTATGGTCTGCGATCCCCAGAGGTATCAATAATTTCGGCCTAAACACATAAAGTGAGATATTTTGTAATATAAAGATATTTGAAAGAAAGTTGGTAGAGGGTTTACGGCTTATAAAAGTCTTCCATCAGGTTCTATAAACGTTTAAGAACCGATTTATTAGAAAAACAGTTTTTATAATATTCTCGAGTGTTCTTACCTAATAAAATAATTATATTTCTAAAAGTTAATATTGATGTAAGCTTTACAATATATAGATTATATTTTTCTAATAGCTTACATAATTAAATAAATGATACGTTTTTAATATACTTTACTCACCATACGTAATTTTGAAAAGTTTAGTAGACCGTCGTCTGCCAAACTTGGCGTCCCTTCCTCTAAAAACGATAGATCACTTAAATACATCCCCAAGTATGGAATGCATGGTGGATCGCATCTGTGCAAAGCTTCACGAAGGTTTCTGAATCTTCCATCAGATGAGACAATTATCTGAAGTTTTTGTACTGACAGTTTTGTCTAAAAACAAAACAATAATCTACATAGAAAAAATAATCTAAAAATTATTTTTACGGGTTACATAGTTAACAACCATAAAATGCGAGGTACAAATAAAAGTTCAAGGTAGTAGCCAAAAAAGGTTAACAAATTTGTTGAACTGGCGGTAAGTTAAGTATAATAGGTAGAAACATGAATAATATTAGATTACATTTTTGAGCAATTTGTTGAATAATATGTAAATATATTTTATATCTCGTTGAAGCCAAAACAATGATTAATATTTTTAGAGTGTATAACTGTCATTTTCGAAGTAAAATACCTACTCAAATCGGTTATATATAATATATAAATTTTATAATTATATCAACTCACAGCTTTCGAAACTTTTTCCCATGTTTTCTTCAATCTGAACACCGAACTATTAGTAAAAGCCGAACATATTTGAAGGACTCCGTTAAAGTTATGCAAACACCTGGATATGTCTGCTACTGCAGCCCACTTTTCTATTGTTATCACTCTTGCGGCCACGTTATTCTTACGCATTATTTCCGAAGCGACCAGCTGCGACAATTCATTGAATCTCTTGGTCATTAGAATGATGTGAGGCGCTTTGATATTTTTGTCGTCTTTCATCCAAGCACGACCGAAAAATTCCCTTGAAAAACACACGTGGAATTGCGATGTAATAACGATTCATAATTGTTATTACTGACGTTGAGAATAGGTACTATAATTTTGTAAACGTTTAAATGATCATTAAATATAGTTATATTTTAGTTACACAAGAGTAAATAAAAAATAAAATAAAATAATGTACAGTGAAAAAAACGGGATAGCATGTTTAATGCACTAATGCACTAGATAGTTCTATATATATGTAAAACTTTTTTTTTTTTATTATAACTGAAATATACTAATGAAAAAATTAAATATATTTTAACAAACGATTACATTTGTTGTATTATTTTGAGTATTTTTTATGATCAAATCCTGTAGTAATATTGTTTTTGTACCTATACAATAATTATTTCTAATGATAATTGTTTTTAAAAGTCCCTGCGTCTTGACAAGAACAATTTAAAATTTATCTTTAAAAAATTGTCAATTTCTTATTGAAATCTACTGAAACTAAAATAATACACTTGGAGGCTAATAATTAAGATGGCCAAATTGTCTGAATTAAAGATATACGAAATTCTTTATTGAATTTATTTATTTAATATATTATATTATTATGTAGCGGAATGTCCCGACTGATTACTATTATTATTAGTAGACAGTAGTATAGCTATACCTACCTATGTTATCGCAATAAATTAGATTTTGCTTATAGTTAGCAATACTTCAGTGATGTGTGTAGACACTGTAGACCCTCTGACCATTCGTTTTGCATTGTTTTAATAATTTTTATATTTGTATGTATGACTAGAGAACCAAAAAGTCTTGAAAGTGGTAAAATAATGGTCCTAGTAGAATTTATTATATTTGTATATGTTTTGTGTTAAACAATAATTACGAATTTTTAATTCCCTTTATTCGTCATTTTTTATTAAAGAAATGACAAAAAGTTTACTTTAGTTATGGACTTATGGTATAATTAAAATTTTGTTAAGTTTGATTTTTTAATGTTATAATTTTACACTGACTGATTAACAGCAGTGTTAAAAATTGTTGCTCATAGTAAATTTATAAATAAATTTAATAAATATATTGAAAAAAAAAGTATATTGTCTTAATAATATTGTACTCACTGGCTTTGGATTCTTATAAATATTTGATGGTCAATATAAGTCATTTGTTCAGCAATTTCTAATGCAGATAATGTGTCAATATTTTCAGAACTAGGAATCTGAAAATCCAATTACTGTTTATGCATGTATAATTATTTATTACTATTAAGTAATCTATATTTAAAAGTTTTTAAATTAATTTAAAGTTTTTTATGATAATTTTAATAAATATTATACAATACTAAATTTGTAATTAAATAATTTATGATAAATATTAAGAACAATTAAAGTAAAATAGATTTTATTAAAAAAAATGTTCTCAATTGATTAAAGTTAAAAAAATATTATTAGTATTTTTTATAATATAAAATTAAATAACGATATACTATTATATAATATATTTTGTTAAAGTATAATACAGAATACTGTTATACCATTGTACATACATTATACGAGTATAAAATTGATTAAATATTTACATTACCTTTTATAAATAATAGTATTTTTCGTACAGATATAATATCATAATTGTTTTAATAAAAAGTTAAAAAAAAAAAAAAAATTTAATCGATTATTAACATACCTGAGACGGAGTTAACAGCAAGTTTAGATCAACAGTAGGTTTTTTTGTTTCATCCATTGTAAGTAATCTAAGTAATTGACCAGCAATTTTGTGCTCAGCTGGTAAAAGATTAGGACTAAAGAGTATATCTTCCAAAAAGTCTATAGTCATGTTCTTAAGGCGTGCTTCATTTTCAAAATCCTAAAAATTATGTTCATTTTATTTGTAGGTACTCTTCACGTTAAAATTTTTTTTTATGGTACTTGTGGGTGTTTTGATATCCAATGTTTTAAGACATTTAACACCCTCATTGTAGCTGCTGTGGACATGACAGATTCTTTTCTTTTTCGTTCTACTGAACAACATCTTTGATCGTGTAATGGAGAAAGTTCTCGTGGATTACTTGAAGCTGACGTTGCAATAGCAAACGCTGCAGCAGCAGTAGACGTGCTGCTCCTTTGAATAAAAGAACACATATGTGTTATTTCATTTTAGTATAGTAAAACTATACTTGTTCGTCTAAAGACACTTGTGTTGAGCTTTAAGTTATATTGAATCGAAAATATTAATGTTTATAGGCACTGAAGAACTGTATTTTGATCGGGTTATTGATTTAAGAAAAAAAAAATAATAAAAAGAAGAGTATACTGATTGAGATGTGCATATGTCTCGATCGCGAGGCAGAGGGAATAGAATCAATTCAATATGATACTTGAATGAATAACACGTGCACGGAAACATTCCCAGGAATCGCAGGTGTTCTCTATTTCGTCAACAACAAACTTAAACTATTTATACGGCAATAATATTGTTTACATTCTTTAAAAGTTAAACTCTACTTTCTATTAGCCTGGGTTGGATGGATTTTACTGGCCGTTACACAGCGAAAGAATGAGCAGTTATAACTAAATGGTTTTAGTGGCTGTGCGACCAATTAGAATAACTAAGTATAGTATAGTATTAGCTTCAGAACTTTAAGTATATTATCACTACTAGGGTATGTGGTTCAAACATTTTAGCTAACTGCTAGTCAGAGTCCATGCATATATTATTTTCCTCCTTTAATTTTTCTAAAAGACCCTTTATAAATACTATTTGGTTCATTATGTGCTAAAACCAAATGTTCTTTACAGTGTGGGAGAGTACTAAGTATTATAACAATATTAGCTTTTTAAGTTGTCAAAGAGCAGAAAAATAGTATATGTAATCTGTAAGTAATAGGTTCATGCAGAAATATGAAATCAAAAATAAAACTGAATAAAAACCCCTTTAGCTATGCCGATTTTCAAATGTCAGACCTCTCACATTGTGCATATCCACAGCACTTACCAAAATTCCGGCCTTCCAGTTCTGAACACAAAAATAAAACAAAACACGTTTAAACATATGAGAACCGTCTTACAGCTGTGGGTTTGTATACATGTTTTGAGCGCAGGACCTATTTTATTTAGTCAATTTTTTATAGTTCCTAAGTGATAATTTGGTCCCACGCTTTTTAAAATAACAAACAACAAATAAACGAAAATATGAGTTAAATATCAGCTATAGGCTTACCTTCTTTTTGATTGTCTCGATGACGTTATTACAACACCAACTCGACTAGATAGTGGAGGACTATCGTGTTGCATGCTAGCTCTTTGTGATATGTTTCCACTGTAACAGCCATCGGCATCACCAGCGCATGCAAATGATTTTCTTCTAGAAAAATACTACAGAAATCCATACTATTATTTTCAGTTTTGTTTTTTACATAAATATACCACCAATAAAAATACCTGGGCAATACTAGAATTTGCTAGTGAAGCTGATCTCGATGATGATGCACTATGCAAGTTACTAAGCCACCCGTTTTCATCAGTGCTGCCTATGTCGTCATCACAAAGCCCAACACTCTTTTTTCTTATAGTTGGAGTACAGTCATGATTGAACCAACTTCTTCTACGTGGTTGTGGAGTGGAAAAATGCTTTTCTGAATGGAATCTATAAAAGTAATTGTTATACTTTTGTTTACTTCAAGTAAAACAATATTACTTTTCTACAAGTTCTTTGGCTGCATCTGATATTATGGACCCAAATTTGATTGCATGTCCATGATGAATAGGGAAACCTTTTGAAGGTGATTGTATTTTACGTTCTGGTGTAGATACTTTTGGAAAACTACTGGTTTTATTATTATTAAGACTTTTCTCACAGTTAGAAGTCGCAGCTACTAAGGTCGAACTACTATTATTGCTACATGGAGATGTTGCAACTACTGTTGATTGGTTATCTAAAAATAAGGCATACATTTAAAGAAAGAAAACTACACCATGCTTAACTTAATTCTAACCTCCAGTTAGAGTCTCATTACTAGATGATGAAGTTGCTTTAACCATAGAAGGAGGGGCTAAATGACAATTGTCACCTGTATCTTCAATTAGTATGCTGACTTTTCGTCCCGGTGAAGGTTGCTGATATAAACTAGTTGTTGAACTGTATTCTTCAGACCCTTTTACTTTATTTTTTCTTTCTTCTTCTTCCACTATAATTCACCATATAAATAAAATAATTGTAATGATAATACTTTCATTTTTTTTATTACGTTTTCGAAAACTGTATTTTCTTCCCCTCGGACAATAATCTACACTGGAACTTCTATCTCGATCACTGACCTCTGATCCGTAACCTGCAAATTACAACATAATATATGTTAAACAAGTAAGTACCATAGAACGCTCCTATGAGCGTTTTTAATAGAATGGATACCGGATACAGAACTGGCGGCACTATTCTTTCGGTTTGACGAAATAACACTGGGTCTTCTGTCTCTATCCCCTGTGGTGAGATGATGATTGTTATGCAATTCGCTTCGATCTAATGATCTAAAATTGATAATAAAATAATAAATTTGAATCTCAATAAGTAATATAATTATATATCGACTTACGTGTTATTCATAGGTTGACCAATATTTTCATAAGCATCAACTTCGTTGTTATAAAACACCTTTTTTAACGCTTCCAAAATAGTAACTCCATCAGTAAAAACTCTATACGTAAGAAGAAATGTATTAAGAAAATCTATTGATAAAAATCTCAAATCCACGAGTCTAGATATCAGTTTTTCTTTTGTAGCATGGTGAATACGCGGAATCTAGATATAAAAGATAATTGCGCATAAAAAAAATTATTTTTACTAAATCAAAAATGTTACGTACCCTACAGGAATTGTAGTATTTACTAAATTTAATATCTTTGTCATCTTTAAAAAGCTTTGGATCACGCATTGAATTCGGCATTGTTACAGAAGATGTATCTGACATAGAATTTCGAAGCATCGCGTCAAATCTTAAGTTTTCAATACACTAATATTCATGTAATAAATAATATAAAATTGTTATTAATATTATTAGTATTTTATTACGTACTAATACTAAAATTATTTGTACTTACTTGACTAATATCACTGACCCACGCGGTTTTTTCTTGTAAAGAGGGTGCATATAAATGAACTGCAATAGGCGTAGACGATTTGCAATCAACACAAAGTTGAAAATCGTAATTTTGTGGTTTTGGACTAGGACTTGGACTTGGGCTAGATGAATATTTTAAGCCTTCACAATCGCTATTCTCAATATCACTCGAATGGCTAGTACCTGCTGAATCGTCAGCTTTTGGAGAAAAAAAAAAACACTACAGTCATAAATATTTTTGGTTAAACTATATTTTACATACCTTCAATATTTCCATCTGGAATTTCCAATTCTCCTGGATTATTATTATCGTCCTCTTTATCATTAGGATCCTCAATTAAACGACAGTCTGCTAAAGATATTTTTCCAACTTCGGGAGCCAAATGTAATTTTCCACTAGTAGTTCTAAAGCAAATTAAAATGTTCAAATAAGTGTGCTTATTAATAATTGCATGTAACTATAGGGTATAATATAAGGTATGGACCCACCTAGTTGTGATTATCATATGGTTTGTAAATAGAAAGCATTGTCTTATTGCTTCTTTTTCACTTTTGAAATGGGGTATCCTGCTCTTTTTTCTAGCGATTGGCATTTGTACCAGAGTACCCTGTCTGACAAATATTTGATTGACGTCCAGTAAAATATCACAGCCTTCGATAATCATTCGTTCAATGGAAAGATTTTTTCGTAAATTTTCGGTTTCGCTAACTTCGTCATGAATTTGTCTGCTTAAGTCTTCTAGTTTTTGACACGCTGTTTGCAAACTTTTTCTTTCCACGTGGTCATGAGGTGTGTGTGCTAATATCTCATGAAGAGTTATTATGTATCTAGGAATCTGTAAAGGGAAAAAATCAAATAACTTAAGATTGACTTTTAAATAATTTATAATAATTATTGCAAGCCTTCATACATTATATATAATTATCTATGCATATTATACAAATGTCTATAACCTAACCTAACATTATGTGTACTTAAAATAAAATAAATATACTATACTCGTATTAAAGAGTAATAATTTCATAACATACACTATGTTTAAAAGTTTGACTAATTTATATAATGATGTATATTTTAAAACAGTTTCTATTATGATTTGACATAAATTAAATATATATACATAATTCTCCATAATATGAACGAAACCTTATAGATTTTATCTACATCTACTGTGGAGTGCATTATAATAGGTTTTACAGTATTTTTATTTCTGTATGCGTTGTTATATTAGGCAGTGGTTATACATTTTAAAGTAACTTTATCCGAATTGAACAGAAACTGAATATTTTATAAAGTATTTATAAAGAGGTAATTTTAGATTTTATTAGTGATTGGATAGGTTAAGGAAGAAGTATCGCTGATATATAAGAAATCACTAAATCAAGTACTAAATAGATTCAATTTGAGATCTAAAACCACTTTCATTTTTTGTAAACTGAAGCATTTTATCGATAACTTATCAAAAAAAAAAAAATACATCATGATAAAATCTATACATTCATCGCTGCGCTCAGAATTTAAAACGAATAATTTATCTATAAAACATATACATTTACATACATTTTCTCTGATAATTACCAGAGGTAAATCTTAATAAAAGATAATCGGCTAAATTATAAAATAATGTAACCGCGTTGTTGTTTTTCTGTTAATTCTTTTAAAAAATGTATTAACTAAGATTTAACTGATATTTATACCATATGCAAATAAAATTATTATTATTTCAAACCAATTATAAGATTTACCTGATGCATTGGTACTATTAGGAAGTTTTCTAATGATCGTGCATGACATGCTGGTTTGTTTTCCAATCGTTCCAAAAGATTGACAAACGCAGGGTTTTGTTTACATTCGGTCAGCACTTGTAAACTGTAATGATGATTTCTTACATATTCTTGGTAGATTGTCAACATGGGCAGTAGTATGTCAAAGAGATCACCTGAAAATAAAATAAAAATAAAAAATCATATGTTTAGTCTAACATAATAAAATACCGCGTTCGTTTTTAGGTACTTATAAAACTCGAAGCTCACGGGAATCGAAACGAATTATAACGGCGGTTGAAATGAGGTTAGATATAGTTATACAGACAGTCGACCATAATGTATAATTTAGTTCACTAAGTTTAAAAACGTCTAAAATATTTTATAGTATTATGGGTTTAGGGAATGCTCAACAAATCAATAAATGAAATGTAGAATTCCACTCACACGCGCAAGTGACCTTTTAATGTAATATTATGTCAGTTGATTCTAGCAGTAATAGAAGCAAGTATAAAACATTATAATTGCGTTAGAGAACGTGAAAATAACTTTGCAGTGAAAATAATTGAAAATAAGGAGGAGATGGACTGGTAAAGAGATAGAAGTAATAAGTTTGCCAAATTTATTTTGGCCGATTAAAGTTTTGTGAGAAAAAGTTTCTAGTGATTACTGGAGACCAAAGCGAATACAGCAAAGGCGTTTGTTTCTATGGTGACTGCCACTTGATGCCGCTGAAGTCCTACTATATTTTTCTAATCTAAAAGAAAAAATTAATATCAAGATGGAACAAAAAAAACTTTACGAGATGCCATTGTTTTTATGATACAAGAAACCGATGTTACTAAACGCGTGTTTAAGTAATTGAATAATATTGAGAAGACGGTAGTGGAAAAATTGCGTAGGTAACTATTATGGTAACTTATTAGTGTTTAGGTACAAGAAAATCGGTATGTATGTGCGATATTATTGATAACACGACTCATAGTCATCCCGGCCATAGATTTCCCCTTCCTTAAAGTTGTCGTCATAATACTGCCTTTTACGGTTGTATTGCATACAACAGACTGATGATCGAAACTTAGTAGTTAAATATTAAAACGCATGGATGGTTGAAATAATGACTCAATTAAATATTATTATGATGGTGATAAAACAAACGTTAGCGAATATAGTCGCGGGGCATCGTACGAGTATTAAAAAGAAACAATAATTTACGGTAAAAGCTTACTACTCGGCATTTTCATATAAAGAACTAAGACTTTTTAATCACAAAAAAAAAAAAAATAAAAAGAATAAAAAGTAATAAAAGATAAGAAATTACTAATAGTTACAGAAATGGTACTGTATTAAGGTATTAAATAGTGTGTGTGATATTCGTATCAAGATGAAAAAAGCAATAAGCTACATCAAGTAACTTCGTTACGGTTACGGTCGTTAGTCGTCACCTGTATCGATATAATATATTTTATTTAAGCATGTTAAATAGCTCTAGATTTACTCCTCAAAACTCACTTAAGATTAGAGTGGGCCAATTTTCCATTCTGGTTGTTAGACCCTTGTAGAAAATCTGATGCAGAAACAATACTGTCTCGCTATTCAGGAATATCGAACTTATGTCTTCGTGAGAGCACGGTGGTTTTTTTGAGCTGGCTGCCATCCGCAAAGGGCGTAGAAAACACGTGACTAACACTTCCAGTTGGCTCACGTACTCTTCCTCGGCTTCAACCATGCGGAAAACCAGGCTGATGGTGGTTTTAAAATAAAAAAAAAAAATGCAAATTATTGTAATTATATGAGTGTATAATAATTATATAATGTCAAGCATTCGATTCTATCATTATTATTAACATAATCATCAGCGTCATAAATACAAGAAAACCGCGTCGTGTGTACAACTACGATAAGCAACTATAATAATATTATGTTGTTGTTATTGTGTTGTAACCAAATGTTGTGTTAGCTTTAAGCCGCAGGTACACGATAATATGGTACGTATAAAGTAAAGAATCACACTACTCGAAATAGTTGTGATGATTATACGAGAGTAAACACGTGTTTGCATAAATTATATGACTATCATGCAAATGTATTTTACTTAGACCACGATCACGTAAAAAATAAAGTTAAAGGTTTACCGGCACGTGCTTCTGTCTTATATCGGGTACCAAAAAAATATTATATTTTGTACAATTTCTATTCACACAATCGAACGATTCAGAGACAAACTGTAACTTCACATAAGTTTTAGTATAATGCTTTCGATCAATATTATATCATAATAAAAATGTAGTTGAATAGACAAACAAAAGACAATAAATTGTCGGAATAAAATTGTATTTTATTTCTAGCAGAGTGATTTTTCTGTAATAATTTTAAATATTTATACTCGAGTAATAAACTTCATGAAATTTGAAACAATATATATAAGTATATAACCATATAATTGTATAATAACGTTTTTATTATTCATTCACCCAATATAATAGGTAATCGTTGAAAATCATGCTTAAAAGTATATTTTAATTAGTATTAAACATTTAAATCAAACATTAAAACATTGAAATAAAGAAAATATATATATAAGTATTATATTTAGACTATACCAGACTCAAAAACAGAAATTACTTAAAAAGTAAGCTTTTTCTTGTATTTATTTCGATTTTAGACTATATATTGGTCTTATACAATTTAAATTATAAAAAAAATAGAATTATTGTATTAAACAAAATTAAAATATAATACATATTTTACTAAAATATTGCATAAAAAAGAAAAATAATAGCAGAGTTTAAAAAAAATAAATTTTTGGTTTTTTTTCTAAATATAATATAATGGTATTATAACCGAATATCGGATAGTATTACTAATTAATAATGTAAAATGTACATCATTGACCACAATCTGTTGAATAAATAGTAATTTAACATGTTGGTAACTATATAATGCGGGATATGACGAATGTAATGCATCTAATCAAATATTAAACAGTGTTTCAACTTTCCATATTAATCAATAACCACTAATCAATGTGACTTTTGAATAAAATTAGTTGACATTTTCGGGAAGGAAGGTGATTTAATTTTGCAAAAAAATAATTATATTTATACCGGGACCTCGTTTCTATATTCATTTTGATTAGATATAGTAAAATAGTTTAATGGTATGATGTTACTTTATATTATAGTAAATAATATATTTAATATAGTACTCACCTGTTTCTTTTGCGCATACTCTCGGCGTGAGGACTTTTGATGTATTGTTCGACAATTTGTTTCCACCGTCTTCTGCACAACCATCCTCTAAAGAAACTCTGCACTTTCTTGATCTTGCGCATTTCGATTGAGTCCTGGACGTTGAAAGTGGTTGGGTCCGAGAATATAAAGCTGTCTTTGGATTGTCTTCGCGAGTACGAACCCGTCGTTCCACCGTCGAACGATCCGGTGCTGGACCCGCCAAACGATGTTAACGGTCGCAGCTCCTTCTTTAATGTTAATACCTATTATAAAAACGGCACCCGAAAAGGTACGGTATCCAGTGATATTTTAATATCTGGCTGCTAACTATAACTTTTATTCATGTGGTGTTCGGGACGTACAGGTGAGAAAATCAGTTACATCGCGAGATGTTGATTTAATACAACTATATATAATTATTAAGTATACGTATAATAAAATGATCGAAATTTTCATAGAGGCCAATTTAGTAAAAGTTATACGTTCTGGTATTTTTTGTTATATTATTATTATTATTCAAAATGTTACTCGTTGAACGGTAAACGATAAATGGTTTTATGTACCAGAACTTAATATAATAAAATAAACGAATAATGTTTTAAGGTCTGTAGTACGTTTGAAATGTTTACAGATGAATATTGTTTAGTGTTTATGAACACTTTTGTCATCGTTGTATAAAAATAAATCGAACGGGTTTTTTTCGTTCATTCTTGTTTTTAGATCATATAGGTACACCATACAAACAGATTCAAAGTATTAGTATCATATATAGTATACAATCTATAAAGTATAAATGCCTACTTTGGATATTTACAACATGTCATATTTAACAAGTTGACTACCTCGAGAACTACATCTGGAATTAACATGGTTTATACTTTAGGCTTAAACACTTTAAAATCGTTCATTTTACACGATTTTAAGTTTGATTGCCAATAAGATACTTATTGGCGTTTTTCTCAGGCTCTAAGGGACAATTTTAATTCTAATTTTGTTTTTTTATGTTCTCATGGCGACTGTAGACAGTTAAAAAAAAATATTGCGTCGGCAGTCAATTTGTTACTGGCATTCTAATAATAACACAAATACAATACGTTATGCACTTATACCTTTAGTTTATTTTCACTGTTTATTTGAGTAGAATTATGTAGTTGTATTATTCGCACAAATACAAATAATAAAATATACTAATGTAACTGAGAGCGCGAATATTACACGAAATTATAAACAGTGTGCTTTGCTCAGAATACCCAAAAATCTTCCAAATTATGTCAATCGATATTTAATATTAAGGTCAGAATCTTTATGATAAATTTAATTAGAAAAATCATGCTAAAATCAATATTGTATAAGTGTTTATGTAACTTTGAAATACAAAAGGTTAATTCTGATAATTTACATTTTAACTGTACCAGTCAGATGAAATGGAGATGCGATCAAAAATAAGCACGTAACTATGTTACAAACTATAAGGGAGTTATAATTCGTTTATAATATTATGTATTACTTCTGCGCGTAGTTTTTTGATTTCTGAGGCCGATTCATCGACCTGTTGGGCGTATTGCCATTTTGCAGTCATTTCACTCTCGACGACCTGTAGCAAATGCAAGTGCCGTTGTTCAAGTTCTTCTTTTTGTAGCAGCAATTTATTGAAACTGAAACGGTGAAAATTAGAAATATTATAACAGACGTAAAGCAATATGTTTCGGGCTTTATAACAGTATACTAGTATAATTACGTCATTATAGTTTTTGATAGGGGGCGGACAAGTTTTAACTAGCACATATTATAATTGAAAAAAATAACTTGTTTCGTTCACACCCTACTATCCAGTTACTATACATATTTTTAATTCGATATCATTGCTTTCTTACAGAATTTTATTGTATGAAATATACATTTAAAAAGTATGATTTCTGTACAGAATTTAAGACAAACTTATTGAAAAAGGGGAGGGGATTCTAAATAAAATATAACACCTACTTCGGTACTATAATTTTATATGTAAGGCTAAACAAATTAAATAATTGAACACAACTATTATATTCAAATAACTGCTAAATATGTAAAAATATAAAATTATATTAGAGGTACTTTAGAAATCACGGATACATTTAAAAGCGATTATTTTGTTTTTAGAATTTATATTGTGTTGATATTAGCATTAAAATGAAAAAAAAAATAGTTTTAGAAATAAAATATTATACCTACATATTTAATCTCGGACAATAATGATATTATTACGATTGTACCTACTCCTGCATACAAATAATTATAAATGTGTATCTATATAACTATACAATATCATATTATATGAATAGTTGTTGGCATTTTAATGAGTTTATGACATTTTTTATGCAGTTGGATGAACATTTTTAATAAAATAGCATTTTGTTGAAATTTTACACAATTCATACTTCTCTCCAATATCAACAAAAATGTAGGAATTATTTATGAATATTATTAATATAATTAAAAAGATTGGAACGTTAAAAATGTATATATTGCCAGTTTAACATAGCTTTTTTAAAAAATTTTAAATTTTTTTCTCTTTAAATTATATAATACTGTAATAATGAAATTTCAATAAATATAAACCAATATACAGTACACCTGCTTTGTGCGAAATTGCACGGGGCCAATAAAAATTTCTATTTTAGGTAAGTTTCCATGCAACTAAATAAAAAGGAAAATTCTGTATTATAGTGTTACAATATACTACATGGTTAAAGTTGTAACATTTTAAGGTCAATAATAAAAATTAAAATATTAAAACTAGTAAATATCATATGCTACAATAAATTTTATTTTTTAGTAAATAATTACATAATGTGTATTAATTATATATTTTAAAATAATTATAAATAAAAAGTTTTTAGTAGGTATTAATAAAATAAAGTAAGCCGGTTAAAATACAATTAAAAATTCCAAAATTCGTGTAAAGTTTTTGTCTGGTTTTTTTCTTTAACAACGGTTTTTACCTATGATATCGTCTCTAATAATTCACTATCACATTTATTCATGGAAAATTGTTTCAGATTCTTGATGTAAATAAGTGCTTCCTTGTATGTTTTCAATTAGTTTTCCCGCATTTAAAAAATATATTCATTATAATGATTTAACGCTATTTCCTTTTTTACTTTCTTCCATAACTTTCATTTTTTTTACTTAAACTTAAACAAATATTTTAAGACATTGTGCAAATAAGTGAGACGAGGCAAAACGAAAGGAAAACTACGATGTAACAATAATAAGCACTGATGATATAGATTCAAGATATAATGGAGTTATATATCGATATGTATTAATCGCTGATGTTAGTAATAGTATAATAGTAAAATAAATTTGGGTATCGAAATATTTTTGTTCATTTTATATGTTTTTCCGTTTGTTAAAGGTGTATATGATTTATGAGACTAAAAAATAACTTCATAATAAATATCCGCACAGAACAGCATTCTGTCTTATTAAGGGTCTGAATAATACAGGTTTTACTTTATTTATAACACATATTAATATAATTTTTATAACTCACCTATAAACATATTAAAATTCGTATGTGCATAAAAAAGCAATCATTAATGTAAACGTATATTATTATGGCATATTATATGAATACGTCCAATTTACGTTTGAATCTTTTCATTCAATAGATAATTAGAAAAAATAAAAACTTACAATGTGAAATATATTTTATGTTATAATACGTTCTTTCATACAATAAATTCACACACCGCAATCTAAGCACTTAATTACATATTTTAAAATACATATGTAATATGCACACGCGACACGTGTCTAATATACATTTTAACTATTAAATATGAACTATCGTATTGTGACCATTATTTTCCACTAGGTGCATATAATTCCTGTTTACAGTTCCTCAAAATTATCAAAATGTCTATGTCTTATTAGCAAAATCTGGTCTATTTACATGGAACATATTTGACATGGGAAAATTTTTACTTTGCCATCTGCCTTTAGATAAAACTACTGCATTAATTTATTATAAGCGAGCTAACTAGCTGTATACCTGGCTTGCTTCAAAGCGTTCACCCAAGTTTTGCAGGCCGTATCTGAAGATGCGCGGAACTCGTACTGCCGCATTTGAGGATGGTTATATGAAATGACGAAACAGTGCTGAGAAAATCACAAAATGTGAGTAAGTTATGCTCTTTTGATTATTAATGGTAAAAAAAAATTATGTATACTTCACCTCATTTTCCGGATGGATTTTCCCAGTGACTTTCGACGTACCACTAGAAAAATCTAATTTTGAGCAATAACTGCCCTCCAACAGTATTACTCCGGACGGCTTATTACAGCTCTCGTATTCGTAATAGAACAAAATATTCTGAAATTAAAAATAAGAAAAAAACAGTGAATTACATGTATACATTGTACACGATATTAATAAAATATTATTAAAGATATATTTTATTAGGTATTATTATAATATTGTATTTTGATTAAATGAATTATGCCGTGATGAGTTTAATGATGGTCTCCTACTAAATTAATGATCTATTCGTATTTGTATTGTTTAAGTTAAATCGAATGAAAGAAAAAAGTAAATCGTTTCATTGAATCAAATTTAGAAAATAAATATGGTTGATAGTTATATTATTATCTCTTCGACAATATATTTTCTTCAATTTAATCACATTTTCATTAGATTTTAAGGTTTTCGTTGACATTTAATACTTTTGTTTCTAAACAAATTCATTAAATTAGACTCAGTGATTCAACATTACCTTGTTGATGATCAATTTGTAATTTGTATTTAAAAAACAAAAAAGTTTATTCCCCAAATTACGATCTCTTATTATTATTAGCCATTTACGTTTGCTTTCAATATAGATGATTTGACAACGGTTGATTAAATTAATAAGCTGATAACTAATTATAAATAAAACAAAAGAAAAAATATTATTATAGAAATAAGGCTAATTATATTGTTTAATTGTTTCTAAATTTTGCTGATTATATTTTATTGGAAAACGAGATTTATATATACTCTAACAAAGAATAAACAATTTTGAAGTAAATAATTCACTTTTGTGAACCTATTACTAAATACGTTTATCGTATATAATATGTTAATATGGTATATAAGTGTTGTTATATCTATATCACAGTATAATCAACATGTAAATAGTAAATATTTCACCAATCTCACCAGAGGCAGATTGAGCGTACTTTTGGATAGAGCAAAAATAAGGCTCAAGTAGTGATCCAGTTTCATAGCCAAAAATAAATTATGGTTGTGGTTATAATTCATAACCTTCATATCTTCTTCACATTCCCTCTCTCCTCATATCACTTTATTTTTGTACATATAGAATACAAAAAATGTACATACTAAAATATAATAATCGTGTGACTTACAGTAGTGCCTACTTAACTCGATTGCGCAGAAATGCAGAATGCACGCAATCGTTGGCATCTACCTAATATTATAATAGCTATTAATAATTTAGGGCGCATGTAAATTCCACCGATTGCAATCTTTTTAGACCGTTTTTGGTGTAAACTCCACCGGTACATTTTTATTTTTATTTAGATATTCAAGATTTACCCATTTACATTTGTGATAAATTAATTAGTATTACAGTATAGGTATGATATAAAATTATTAAACACGCAATAATAATAACACAATAGTAAACAATAATAATAATAAGCCATAGCAGACAATAGGTACATAATTTATGTACATATTTCTTATTTATACACACTAGATAATATACTTAAAATTTAGATACCTATGTCATTTTTTAAACAAATTAAAAAAAAATATATATAAAATAATTAATAATGATTACTAGTTAGTAGTTACTTATTTTACCATCGGTGGAGTTAACATGTTTTCAGATCAAAAATACGTATCGGTGGAATTTACATGTTTTAAATTCAACCCGAAAATTGACTACCTATAAATTAGTGGAATTTACAATCACCCGTAATTTCTTATTGAAGTAACGTAGGAATAAAATTAATGCCTGGGTTTAGCTGGTGGTGGTTTATTTCATTGTTTTTGGGTTATTAACATGAGTAATAATTTATAATATTCTTATACATCCATTAGATACGTATTAAATATAAACACTAGAGTCTACACTACACTCTACAATATAATTGTTGTTGTATGTATAACTGTGTTCTAACTACTCGTATTTTATTCGAAACTAAAATAAGTACGCCATAATAAAGTATTAATTATTTTAAAATTAACAATAATAGATATGATTATATGGGGCACAGCTAATTATTTTTATATAAAAGAGAGGAACATACAAGATAAATATATTCTGAAACCCAATTCTTTATCGTTTGAAGTTACGGTCAGCTTCAGTCCGTTTAACATTACCCAAGATGCATTAATTTTTTTCAGCAATGATGTAAAAATTAATATAAGTTTATCTCTAAGTTACCATCATATCACCATTTTTTAAGGTAATGCATATTTTTTTTTTCATACAGTTATCATTGTTATATATAAAAAAAAAAAAAACAGTGTGTTTCTGTGCGATAAAAATTTCACCAACTCTTATTTATATATTTCACCGCTTATATACTAATATCCATTTAGCTGTAGGAAGTGTTTTGTATTAGAATTTTTTCTTTTTTTTATTTTATTTTAATTGATGTATGTATCATGACATTAGCAGTAGCTTGAATTTACAGTAAAATTTAAATAAATAATATACATTGGAATCGAATAAATAAAATTTATTTCAGGATGAATTGTGTTTACGTGTGGGCTTATCTACAAACATTAAGAAAGAAATCAGGTACATCTTTTAACGAGCAGGTATATATATGAAGAAATCAGTATTTACCTATGTATGATATACCTAGCCTTTTGGTTCTTCCACCGGGGAAGTCCAATATTATAATATTATATAATCTTATATATTCGGCATTTCTTTATGACTATATATATATATATATATAGTATATATTATATAGTACCTACTCAACAACAAAGTGAAATTATACATCAAGTATTCGAGTTGTTCGGATTAATTCCTTTGTCATTCTCGTACATTTAGAGTTGTCTTAAATAGATGCAGCAACCTTAAATACAGTTAATGTACTTATTTATTACTATAAATGTATGAAGCCTTTGTACGCGTATATTCCACGATGTCAAACGGATAATTAAATAAAGGTATTTTGGTCTCATTGAGCAGGATCTATACGATGATATTCGACGCACGTTAACCACACATCCCTTACATTCAAAGGTCACTAGTAATATTCATAAAAAATCGATATCGATAAGAGAGACACACCAAAGCAAATTTGCGAATGACGAGACGACCTAGCTATGTAAGTTTTGTTGTTTGAAAATCATTATTGTTTTCCAAAATCAACATGTCGACAAAGGTTTCTTTGAACGACGATGATAGTGAGAGGGAGAGAGAGTGAGAAAGAGAGAGAATGAGAATAAATGAAGAGAATAATGAAATGATAATTATTACATTTTCTCCAACAATAGTTTGTTTTCCATTAAGGTATTTGAAAATTTAAAAATCCGTTTTCGACAAGAGCATGATAAGATAACGTCAAAATAGATTTAATAATTATTATTATAATGGGCCGCTGAGACTTTGTAGTTTGACAACATTTCCACGTAAATATTATCATTACAAATTTGTGTTTAAATACGATAACATCTATATGAAAAGTTACAAACTACGTATAATAATCAATAATATTAAAAACAACAATAATCAAAAACTATTAATTTTATTCATAGAAAAATGTATATTAAGTAGTATAGGTTGTCATTTTGAAAACGCTTGTGTAGCTAACCTATATTGTAGTGCTATAATGAATAAGTTATTTACCATTTAAAATGTAATATTATATTAAAATCGTTTACTATAATCTTTTCTTGTATAACTATTGCACATAGGTTATTAAATTATTACAAATAAAAATTACAAATAGTACATTGCTAATAGACGGTTTGATTAAAATCAATTTTTAAAATTATTAAAATGCAAAAAAATGATGACAGCTATTATTGTACTCATAATATTGTACAAACAAGGATTAATATGAACACAATATGTCTAAAATATATATAAATTATTAAGCTAAAAATTAATAATATTTAAATGTTCTCAAGTTATCAAACATATGCGTAATATAATATTATAGAACATATGTATAAAGTATATATACCTATTTTTAAAATTTCAAAATCTATGTCAATACTGTAAGATAATTGATATACTAATCGATTATTTATTATTATTATTATTATTATTATAAAACTGAAAGGTATCGAAGTAATGTTATTAGGTTGGGTGTGATACATACATGCTATTAATTTAAAAGTAATGATTTATGATAAACTACTGCATTAAAAAAAGATTATGAAAATGTGATTGTTTGATTTTCTTTATCAGTTTTATACGATCTACTCCGACACTCTTTTTCTTAAACTGTATATCAATTATTTTAAAATATTTCATTATAAAATAACAAAAATTCTTAAAATACCCATCATACTATTCTAAGCGAGCTCTTTCGATACAAAAATCAATTTTAGCAACATAAAAAAGTGTTGTAAAATTAATTGATTATATTATATTGCACAGTAAATATTTACCTGCGTAACCGCATGTAACCATACGCCTTTCATTTTTTTTTCTAAATATATATTTCATAGTAAATCAATAATGGTATTAACGTGTAAATTGCCACTTAATAATATTAACTATAATAATGTAAAAGTGTTTTTAATCAATAATTATATTTGTATTGTAATATTTACGCTATTTCATCATCGTAATGATTAATTCAAATATAAATGATATAAAATTATAAAAATAAAAGAACGTATTAAAATATTTATCGTATAAAAAATAAATCACATACAGTTTACGAGGATTAGTTATTTATTTTTTAAATGAAATATCATCACAATTTATAATATATTCAACTGAAACTGTTATCAAACCGATATTTGATGCATTTGCAACCACAATAAATTGGCGTTTGAAGCTATTAAGTGATTTTCATAATCGTCCGGTGTATTTGAACTCAACACAAAACACGATTTTGGATCAAGGTACACGACGATAATTGATACAATAATATTACGTGTATAAGATAGTCAGAGACAAATGACAGAGAAGATATTGTATAATAAAGTGGACGTAAATCTGTTGAAAAAAACGATTCTCATTAACTCAAATATTTATTGATATTTGATTATAATACCGATAACAACATTTTTATTAAATCAATATAAAACTGTAATATAAATGGATTTTAATACTGTATTATGTTTTTCCGAAAAAAGTTAATTTGAAGTATTGGAAAAAAAATTAAAAA